TTGCCAGAGACCTTTGTCCTTGTGTATTGCAGTTGTTCGGTAACTGATTCCTAGAAAAAAACAATACTCATCAGCTGCTTTCCAGAATAGATAAAAAGAGGTTACATTTCTCTTTTTAATGGATTAGTATTTCAATTAATATGTTTTTGCCTTGGTGTCTTTCTAAAAACTTTACTTTAAATGAAATTTGCTTATCGATGGTGTGATGAGTAGTCTAAAGCTAACTGGTATAGTTGGGTATTAGCTACTTACTATCCACGTCTCTGATAGACCATGTGTCCAGCACCAAAACTTAAGTAATCAGACCTGTAGCATGCCTGGCCAGAAAAGGCCAGGCTGAGCTCAAGTATTGAAATGTCAAACTCGGAGGTCCCTCACCAAAGGAGGTCTAGACTTGAGACTGAAATCTTTACCCCTTGCCGGTTCTATTTGATTACAGAGGCATGGCACTTGCAAAGCTTTTAAAAACTTGTTTCATGTTTTTAAAATCCTTGGGAGCTACAGAGTGGGTGTTCAGACCAAAAAGGCTGCTTCCTGGAGTGTTTATGCAAAGGATCATTTTTAGAGAGTTATGTGGAATGGAATTGGGTCTGACGTCAATTCTGTGTACTTTCTCTCCCCTGGAGGAATAGCCATATGCAGAGACAGATGTGAGACTTGAAGGCTTTTTTACACATAAATATGCTGAGAGAGAATGTGAACAGTACTGTGAGTTAGAGGCTGGGGAAGAACAGAGTTTGCTGCAGGACAGAGATGACCACGTTTTTTTTACGTGCACTCTTTGAACCCTTAAGTTGTGTGTGACCCATAAGCCTAAATGTGCACAAAACTTAAATGTACATTAAATTAGTAATAATGCAGTAATAATAGAATAGATACCTGTGTAATCATCACTCAGGTCAAACACTAGAACATTATCAGCACCCAGAAGTTCCCCGAGTAATTCCTTTGATCACTACCCCATTCCCTCTTCTTTTGCTTACAATAAAAGTGTTCTTGCTTTTCTCTTTAGATTTACTGCTTTTGTAAGCATTCCTAAACAACTTAAATTAGTTTTGCCTGTTTTTGAACTTCGTATACATGGAATCATACTGCATTTTTATATGTCTTGATCCTTTTGCTTAACATTTTGTTTGTAATCACATGTTGGTGAGTGTAGTGCAGTTTGTTCTACTTTATTACAGTATAGATTTCATTATATGGCTATATCATTGTTATTTTACTGTTGATAGTTTTTTGGTTGTTTCCCATCTGGGCCAGCTATAAATAATGCCACTTCAAACCTTCTTGAACTTATCTTTTGGTGCATGCATTCCTGTTGGATATACATTAGCTTGAACCATGTGAAATTACCATTTTTTTGTGGATCAGTCACATATTAATGATTCCATATGGTTCATTCTAATACCTAGGAGTAGAATTTTTGGATCATCAGAAATGCATATGTTAAATTTTAGCAGATTCTGCCAAATTCTTTTCTGAAAATCTCGTACCAACTTAATCTCTTGCCAGCAACATATAAGAATTGCTCCACATTCTGGTCAATACTTGGTATTGTAATTTTTCATGTAATTTTGATTTGCATTTCCTTGGTTACTAATGCAGTCGAATACTTTTTGGTTTCGGCCACTTTGATTTCTTCTTCTGAAGCACCTATTCAAATCATTTGCCCATTTTTCTGTTGGATGGTCCATTTTTGTCTTACTGGTTGGTAGGTGTTCTTTGTATATTCTAGACATGAATGCTTGATCGTTAATATATCGCATGTATCTTCTCCCATTCTTTGGTTCATCTCTTCATGCTGTTAACGGTATTTTTGATGAATGGATAGTCCCAATTTTAATAGAATCAAATTTGTCCATCATTTTGTAGTTAATACTTTTTGTGCTTGTCTAAAAGAACTTTTGCCATATGTTAGATCTTGACAGTAGTCTCCCATATTATCTTCCAAGAGTTTTGCTTTTCACATTTAGTTCTGTAATCCATATGAAGTAGATTTTTTTACTTTATCAGTATTTTTTCACTGAAGTATAGTTTATTTTACAATGTGTTAATTTCTACTATACAGCAAAGTGATTCAGTTATATATATACACATATACATTCTTTTTTAAAAATACTCTTTTCCATGCTGGTTTATCATGGAATATTGAATACAGTTGTCTAAGCTATACAGTAGGTCTTCGTTGTTAATTCATTGTGTGCAGAAGTCCAGTTTCATTTCCCCCTCAGTGGACATTCAGCTGTGCCAGCATGCATTAATGAAGAGACCATACTCTTCCCACTGCTCTGAGGTGTCACCTTTATCATAGATCAGGGTCTATATGTGCCTATAGCTGTTCCAGGCTCTGTTTTTCTCAGTGGTCTGTTCTAATCCAGCACTAATACCTCGTTGTCTTAATTACCATAACAAGTACCCACCTTGTTCTTTTCTAAGAGTGCCTGGACTGTCCTTGTCCTTTTGCATTCCCAAATATATTTTAGAATCAGTTTGTCAAATTTCATCAAAAAAGTCTATTGGTATTTTTATTGATTGCATTTAATCTCTCAATCAATTTATTTAGAATTTACATCTTTATAATAGTCTTTAACCTAGAAATAAAGTTTATCTTAAAGGTCTACTTTATTTATTAAAATTTTTGGAGATAAAATTCATTTCATTATTTTTTATTATCCCATTTACCATTTTAATCATTTTTAGGTATATAAGTCAGTTGCATTAAGAACATCCATACTGTTATGCAGTCATTACCACTCTCTATCTCCAGAACTTTTTCAGTGACTTGCATTATGTTCATAGTGTTTCACAGCATTTCATTGCCCTCCCCGCCCCGCCCCGCCCCCCCACCAAAAAAAATACTCATACCCATTAACTCCCCAAATCCTTAGCAACCACTAATCTGCTTTCTGTCTTACTGTATTTGCCTCTTCTGGACATTTTTTATAAATGGAGTCACACAAGAATGGTCTTTTGTGTCTCTTTCACTTAACCTAATGTTTTCAAGGTTCATCTTTGTTGTAGTATGTATCCTTTTTAAGACAGTTATATACCACTGCATTTTAGACTACATTTTAATTATATGAATATGCCACATTATAAATTCATCAGTTGATAGACACTTGTCAATAAAATTCTATAATTTTTTATGGAGGCCTTGCCCATATTTTGTTAGATTTATTCCAAGGCACATATTTTCAAATCCTTGTAAATGGTATTTTCATAATATAATTTGAAAATATGTGATTTTTTAAATGTAATTTAGTATGTTGTTTACTGCTGTTATCTAGGAATATATGATGTTGATTTTACATTCTATAAATAGTTTAAAGTTTGATAAACTCTCTTAATTCCAAAATTTTTTCTGTTGACTCTTTTGGATTTTATGTATACCAATCATATCATTGTGATGAATAAATGAGTTTTGTTTCTTTTCATTTCTTCTACCATTTGTTTCTTCCTTTTATCTTTTGCTGCTGACTAGACTTTCTAGTCGGAGAAGGCAATGGCAACCCACTCCATTACTCTTGCCTGGAAAATCCCATGGACGGAGGAGCCTGGTGGGCTGCAGTCCATGGTGTCTCAAAGAGTCGGACACGACTGAGCGACTTCACTTTCACTTTTCACTTTAATGCATTAGAGAAGGAAATGGCAGCCCACTCCAGTGTTCTTGCCTGGAGAATCCCAGGGACGGCGGAGCCTGGTGGGCTGCCGTCTATGGGGTCGCACAGAGTCGGACACGACTGAAGCGACTTAGCAGCAGCAGCAGACTCTCTAGTACAGTGTTGAACAGAGTAATGATGACAAGCAGCCTCGACTTATTCCTGATTCCAAAGGAAAAGCTTTCAAGTCTTCATCAGGGTTGAAATATGAGATTTGCTATAGATCTATTTGTCTTTCAGATGGTCTTTATCTTAGCTGAAACCTGGCATTCTTTCTTTCTTTGGTTTTAATTTTTAAGCAACATTTAGTGAGCTCCTGAGGATACTTTGCCTCTAATGTGGTCATTTGGGCAGTTGATGTGTGACACTGGCAGTCACACTGACTTGAGTCCAGTATGGCTCTCCTGGGCTTTCCTGGTGGCTCAGACAGTGAAGAATCCACCTGCAATGCGGGAGACCTGGGTTTGACCCCTAGGTTGGGAAGATCTGGGCGAGAGCATGGCAGTCCACTCTAGTACTCTTGCCTGGAGAATCCCATGGACAGAGGAGCCTGGTGGGCTACAGTCCCATGGGGTCACAAAGAGTCAGACACAATTGAAATGACTAAACACACACACACATGGCTCTACTATAAGCTCATGTGATTTTGGTGAGGATTGTACATCTTTTTAGGGATAGAACTTATTATTTATTTGTTATTGATTTCTATATCATTAGCTCTAACTTACTAATGCCTAGTATATTGTAGGGGCTTAATATAGATCTGGAAAAAAAATGAAGTTGTATAATTTGTCTCTGAGTCTTGGATTCTCATTTATAAAATAGGAATTAGTAATTCCTCAATAGGCCTTTATATAATGATTTTAAAAATGCTATGTGTAACATACTTGCATGTAAAAAAAACACTGAAAATTAGTAGTTTCCTTCCCTTGAGATTTAGTTTGCTTTAACTGACTACATTAGTAATTAAGAGGGTTCTGGGACTGATTTCTAATATTGGGGGTGGGAGGTTCCCCACAGTAACAACCATTCTCAGACACTATCTTGTGCTGTCTACCCAGAGATAGCATCAGACTCCAGAGATTGAGGGCTCAGTCCTACAAGACTGCCCCCTTCTCCTCTCTACATTAGATGCCAATCTCAAGCCCAGGTTGGTACCTGTTTCTGACTGGCTGGTGGCAGACTGGAGCCGTGACCTCCTTTTTGGACTTCAGGTGCTGGTTTTAAGTCCAGGTTCTTCCTTGTAATTCTGATTGACTGGGTGTAAAGCAGAGTCTCTCATGACCCTCTCCTTGGGTTTGATTAATTTGCTAGAGTATCACACACAAAGAAACATTTTACTTACTAGGAAACTGGTTTATTATAAAAGGATATAATTCAGGAACAGCCAGATGGAAGAGATGAATAGGGCAACATATGAGGGAAGAGTTCAGGTCTTCATGCTCTTTCCATGTGCAGCACCCTTCCCGAATCTCCAAGCGTTCACCAACCTGGAAGTTTTCTAAACCTGGGCTTTCAGGGTTTTATGGAGACTTCCTGACAACAGAAATGATTAATTAAATCACTGGCAGTCTCCAGCCCTTCACCCCTCCCCTGGTGACTGGAAAGACCAACCTTTTCTACTCACATGGTTAGTTCATCTGGTGACCAGCATCCCCTGCCATCTTTAGGGGATTTCCAAAAGTCACCCCATTAACCTAAGCTCAGTTGTGGTACATAGGGGCTAGCTATGAATAACAAGACACTCCACTCACCGTTATTGTTTTGAAGAGATATCAGGAACTGAGGATAAGAGGCCAAACATTTTAACAAAAAATGCTCCCATTGCTCTTATTGCCTGGGAAATTATAAGGGTTTTGGACGCTGTCAGTCAGAAACCTTGGAAAAAGACCCCCCCAAGAATATTTATTATAAATCATATCACAGAGATGTTCTCCATTTTGGGGCTTTTATTTAACATCATAGAAACTTGTGTATTATATTTTTTTGAACTATGGTTGATTATAATATTGTGCTAATTTGGGGTATATTGGCTTCCCTGGTGACTCAGCTGGTAAAGAATCTGCCTGCAATGAGGGAGACCTGGATTTGATCCCTGGGTTGGGAAGATTCCCTGGAAAAGGGACTGGCTACCCACTCCAGTATTCTGGCCTGGAGAATTCTATGGACTGTATAGTCCATGGGGTCGCAAAGAGCTGGACATGAATGAACGACTTTCACTTTGGGTATACAGCAAGTGATTCACACACAGACATGTACACACATTCTTTTCAGATTCTTTCACATTATAGGTTATTGTAAGATACTGCATATAGTTCCCTATGCTATGCAATAAATCCTTCTTGTTTATTTTATATATATATTAGTGTGTACCTGTTAATCACGTACTCCTAATTTATCCCTCCTCCACCCATCTTCCTTTAGAAACCATAGTTTGTTTTCTATGTCTGTGAGCCTATTTCTGTTTTGTAAATAAGTTCATTAGTATTTTTTAGATTCCACATGTAAATGATATCATATAATGTTTATCTTTCTCTGACTTACTTCACTTATGATAATCTCTGGGTCCATCCATATTGCTGCAAATGGCACTATTTCATTCTTATTTATGGCTGAGTGATATATCACATCTTCTTTATCCCTTCATCTGTTGATGGACACTTAGGTTTGGGCTATTTTAAATAGTGTTGCTATGAACATTGGTGTGTGTGTATTGAATTTTTTTTAAGTCTACAGTTTATTTTATTATTAAAAAGGCTTAAAAATTTCTCCCATGGCTTTGAGATGAGAGGAAGAATAGTTTGAGATGAACCATTTAACTGCAAAAGTATCCTACAGATTTTGTAGCATGTTCGGTTGAATTAATCAATTTTGTGAGAAGCACAGTACCAACATGGTTTTAAATTAAATGCATTAATAATTTCTTATGAGTACAAGTGATCCTCTGATGTATCCATATTGTGAGCAGCTGGATGACTCTAGTTTTGCCAATAGTTACTATATACATTTCATAATCTCTTCTCTTGCAGTTCTTGTATCTGTTTTACTGATCTTTTGCTGCAGGGACAGTTCCTGTGTCTCTGTCAGTTCTGTTGAAGTTTGAAGGAAACAGTGTGCATGATGTGTTTGAACTACTTGTGAGGTATACGGGGACCCCACTGGCTCCCAGTCAGCAGAGACAGGGCTTCTCACACATTAACATTTTTGTTTGATCAGGGCTCTCGATCTCTGAAACAAAAGGTGATAGTTTGGAAGGGAGCAATAGTGAACCACAGAAGAAAGTTTTTTTGAGTAGGTTGTGGACTCTTGCTAGCTTCAGAAGTGTTTGTGAGGCTAGAGAGATTTCATGCCCAAACTAGAGTCAAAACTCCCGAAGCTTACATGTATATTTGGCTGGGTGAGTTCATGTCTCATCCCTCCCCCAGGAGCCTAAATAATACCCTAACATCCAGCACTCTTATCTGCGTGAAGAGAGCACTGATAGCATCTGAGGACTTTGATGTTTGTGCTTCTAAAACCCTGCGTGAATTCTTAGGATTACAAGTTATATTTCTTACCCTGAAAGGACCTTTGCAATTCCTGATGAAGAGTTCATCTTTCTCCATTGCAGATTGACATCAGTAAATGCCATTATTTAGTGGATTTGGACACCATGAGAGAAACACCCCGGGAGCCAAAGTATTCATCCAATAGAGAAGAATGGATCAACTTGGCCTATAGACCATTCCTTGATGCTTCTAGGTATGTGGCTTTAATCCTAAGAAATGTACTAGGATTAATAAGGATGAAAATTGGAATCTGGGATTGAATAACTTCCAGTCCTGGGCTAACTCTAGTACCCATTTTATTTTGTCTGTTGTCCAGTTTCCTGAGAAATCTGAAAGAGTGCTCTCCTTTTCTAGGCATCAGAATGCAAAGTGTATTCTGGTATCATCCAAATAAAAGAATCTATAAACAGATACATCCACTGAAGAAAATACAAAGAAAATGTTTGACATTGAGTATTTTTGACAATCAGCTTCAGCCTTCTTAACCAGAGTTTTCTAATACTGTTCGGAAGATTGACTATGTTCTTTGTGGAGCTAGAAATTCATATCAATTATTTTTGGGCTCAAAGCTCAGTCAGAGAGGAGGCCAGGCCTTACTACATCTAAAGTAGGGAAAGCAAATAGACCAGACCTTGACTAGCTCTTCAGAAAGGGCTCAGAATTCATAAGAGAGGAGTCAGGACATCCAGGTTAAGCAGTAATGAATGGGAGAGAATTAGAAGGTATAGGTTGTCTGTGGGCCCAGGTCCAGGTAGACGGACAGTTGAAGTTCAAGGAAATTAAAGCTGAAGGTGGTCCAAGGAGGTCTTGTAGGCAGAGCCCAGGATCCAAGAGGTCAAGTAAAAACCAAAGGGTGAAGGACCAGGTCTTGAGAGGCAGATTTGGGACTCAGAAACGGGGAAGAAAATATTTTCAGGAAGAGAGAATGATCAGAACTTACTGATAAGTAAGGTGAAGAATAACAACTGTCCATTGGATTTGACAGTTGATAAAAGCAATTTTGGTGGAGTGGTGGGGGCATAGGATTTGAGAGATTAGAGGGATTGAAGCAGAAATGGCAGTGAGAAATGCGGCAAGATGGTGGAGTAGGGGAACGTATGCTCACCCCTTCTTACGAAAACACCAAAGTCATAACTAACTGCTCAACAGTCACTGATAAAAAAAACCCGCTGAAACCTACCAAAAAAGATACCCTCCAACCAAAGAGAACAGAAGAAGCCACAATGAGATGCAGGAGGTGCATAGTCAGGATAAACTAAAATCCCATAGACACCAGGTGGGTGACCTACAAGCTGGAAAATAATTATACCATAGAAGTTCTCCCACAGGTGTGAACCTTCTGAGCCCCACATTGGACTTCTCAGCCTAGGGGTTCAGCAGCAGGAGGAGGAGCCCCCAGAGAATCTGAAGACCAGAGTGGTATTTGAGCACAGGAAGTCCATGGGACTGGGAATTCCCCTCTTGAAGGGCATACACAGGGTGTTATGGGCATCAGGATCCAGGGAAAAGAGCAGGGACCTATAAGAGACTGGGCCAGACTTGCCTGCTAGTGTTGGAGGGTCTCCTGTGGAGGCGGGGGACAGCTGTGGCTCACTGGAGGGACAGGGACACTGGTGGCATGGTTCTGACAAGTGCTAATTGGCATGAGCCCTCTAGGAGGCTGCCATTCTCTAACTAAGACCTGGCCCCACCCAACAGCCTGCAGGCTCCAGTGCTGGGACTCCTCAGGCCAAACAACCAACAGGGCGGGAACACGGCCCCATCCATCAACACAGATGGATGGCCCTGCCCACCGGAGGGACAAGCCCCAGCTCCACCCCCCAGTAGGTGGGTACCGGTCCCCCCAACTAGGAAACCTGCTCAGGCCTCTTAAGACAGTTTCATCCACCAGAGGACAGATAGCAGAAACTAGAACTACAACCCTGCAGCCTGTGGAACGGAAACCACAATCACAGAAAGTCAGACAAAGTGAGATAGTGGAGGAGTATGTTCCAGATGAAGGAACAAGATAAAATCCCAAACAACTAAGTAAAGTGGAGATAGGCAATCTATCTGAAAAAGAATTTAAGAGTACTGATAGTAAAGATGATCGAAGATCTTGGGAAAAGAATGGAGCCAAGGATTGAGAAGATACAAAAAATGTTTAACTAAGACCTAGAAGAACTAAAAAACAAGCAGAGATGAACAGTATACTAATTTAAATAAACAATACACTAGAAGGAATCAGTAGCAGAATAATTGAGGCAGAAGAACAGATCAGTGACCTAGAAGACAGAATGGTGGAAATCACTGCTGTGGAATAGAGTAAAGAAAAAAGAATGAAAAGAAATGACAATTGAAGAGACCTCTGGGATGACATTAAATACACCAACATTTGCATTATAGAGATCACAGAAGAAGAAGAGAAAGAGAACATATCTGAGAAAATATTTGAAGAGATAATATAATAACTGAAAACTTTCCTAACATGGGAAAGGAAACTATCATCCAAGTCTAGAAAGTGCAGAGAGGCCTAGGCAGGATAAACCCAAGGAAGAACACAGTGAGACACGTAGAGATCAAATTAATAAACATCATAGACAAAGAAAAAGTATTAAAAGCAACAAAGGAAAGAGTAACAGATAATACTCAGGGGAACTCCCATAAGGTTATCAGTTGATTTCTCAGCAGAAACTCTGCAGACCAGAAGGGAGTGGCAGGGTATATTTAAAGTGATGAAAAGGAAGAACCTGCAACCGAGAACACTCTACCCAGAAAGGCTGTCAGAGTTGATGGTGAAATCAAAGACTTTACAGACAAGCAAAAACAGAATTCAGCACCACCAAAACAGCTTTGCAACAAATTCTAAAGGAACTTCTTTAGGAATAAAAAAAGGCTGCAACTAGAAACAAGAAAATTACAAATGGAAAAGCTCACCAGTCAAGGCAAGCATACACTAAAGGTAAGAAATCACCTGCACACAAATATGATATCAAACTGTGACACAGGAGAGACAAATGCAGGATACTGGACTTGCATTTGGTATTCAAAGACCAGCAAATTAAAACAGTGTTGTTTATATATAGACTGCTCTATCAAAGCCTTCTGGTAACTGCAAACTGGAAAGCTATGGTAGATACACACACACACACACACACACACACACACACACACACAAAGGAATCAAAACATAGCACTGAAAGTTAATCATCAAATCGAAGGGAGGGGAACAAAAGAAAGGAACAAAAAAGACCTACAAGAACAAATCCAAAACAGCTAACAAAGTGGCAGTAAGAACATACATACTGATAATTACCTTAAGAGCTCCCCAGCATCCAAGGTCAGGGGCGGTGGCCGAGAAGCTACCCTACGTCCAAGGTCGGGAGCAGCGGCTGTGCTTTGCGGGACCAGCCGTGAAGAGATACCCCACGTCCAAGGTACGAGGAACCCAAGTAAGACGGTAGGCTCTGAGAGAGGGCATCAGAGGGCAGACACGCTGAAACCACAATCACAGAAAACTAGCCAATCTGATCACAGGACCACAGCTTGTCTAACTCAGTGAAACTAAGCCATGCCATGTGGGGCCACCCAAGACAGACGGGTCATGGTGGAGAGGTCTGACAGACTGTGGTCCACTGGAGAAGGGGATGGCAAACCACTTCAGTATTCTTGCCTTGAGAACCCCATGAACAGTATGAAAAGGCAAAATGATAGGATACTGAAAGAGGAACTCCCCAGGTTGGTAGGTGCCCAATATGCTACTGGAGATGCTGAAACTCCATTATTTCGGCCACCTGCTGCGAAGAGCTGACTTATTTGAAAAGACCCCGATTTGGGGAAAGATTGAAGGCAGGAGGAGAAGGGGATGACAGAGGATGAGATGGTTAGATGGCATCACCAATTCAATGGATGTGGGTTTGGGTGGACTCCGGGAGTTGGTGATGGACAGGGAGGCCTGGCATGCTGCGGTTCATGGGGTCGCAAAGAGTTGGACACGACTGAGCGACTGAGCTGAACTGAAATAGATTAAAGGCTTCAACCAAAATACATAGACTGGCTGAATGGATGACAAAAACAAGACCACATATATGCTGTCTCCAAGAGACCCACTTCAGATCAAAGAACACATACAGAACTGAAAGTGAGGGGATGGAAAAATGTATTCCATTCAAATGGAAATCAAAAGAAAGTTGGAGTAGCAATATCATATCAGACAAAAGAGACTTTAAAATAAAGATCTAGCACAAAAGACAAAGAAGGACCCTACATAGTGATCAAAGGATCAATCCAAGAAGCAGCTTATAACAGTTTTAACTATATATGCACAACATAGGAACACTTCAATTTAAAGGCAAAAATTAATACTGTTTAGGTTGGTGCAAAAGTAACTGTGATTTTTGCCTTGTTGAAATTTGCCATTTGATATTGGAATACATTATAAATAGATATGGTTAAGTTATACATCATTTTAATGCACATTTTTTTTTTTGCTAATGACTTATTACTTGCTGTTTATTTCATACTTATTTTAGACTATGGGTATACTGTTAGACAAAAAGCAAATTCGGGTGATTTTCTTGCGTTCAAAATGGGTCGTAAAGAAGCAGACAGCTTGCAACCTCAGCAGCACGTTTAGCCCGGGAGCTGCTAGTGAACATGCAGCGCTGTGGTGGCCCAAGAACTTGTGCAAAGGAGATGGGAACCTCGGAGATGAGGACGTTAGTGGCTGGCCTTTACCAATCAGAAGTTGATAATGACAGTTGAGAGCCGTTGTTGAAGCTAACGCTCTTACAACTACACGAGAAGTTGCCGAAGAGCTCAGTGTCAACCATTCTATGGTCATTCGGCATTTGAAGCAAATTGAAAAGGGTGAAAAAGCTTGATAAGTGAGTGCCTCGTGAACTGACCGGAAATCCAAAAAAATCGTGAAGTGTCATCTTTTATTCTGTGCAACAACTGCAAACCATTTCTTAATCGAATTGTGACGTGACAAAAGTGGGTTGTACATGACAGCTGGTGGCGACCAGCTCAGTGTCTGGACTGAGAAGAAGCCCCAGAGCACGTCCCCAAGACAAACTTGCACCAAAAAAGGTCATGGTCACTGTTTGGGGGTCTGCTCTCTGTCTGATCTACTACAGCTTTCTGAATCCCAGCGAAGCCATTACGTATGAGAAGTATGCCCAGCAGATCAATGAGATACACCAAAAACTGCAACATCTCCTGCCACCGTTTGTCAATAGAAAGGGCCAGTTCTTCTCCCTGACAATGCCTGACCACAGGTCACACAACCAACGCTTCAAAAATTGAATGAATTGGGCTTCAAAGTTTAGCTTCATCCTCCATATTCACCTGACTTCTCACCAACTGGCTACCACTTGTTCAAGCATCTTGATAACTTTTTGCAGGGAAAGTGCTTCTACAACCAACAGGATGCAGAAAATGTTTTCTAAGAGTTCGTTAAATCCCAAAGAATAGATTTTTATGCTACAGGAATAAGCAAACTTATTTCTCATTGGCAGAAATGTGTTGATTGTAATGGCTCCTATTTTGATTAATAAGTGTGTGTTTGAGCCTAGTTATAGTTATTTAAAATTCACGATCCAAAACCATGATTATGTTTGCACCAACCTAATAGCAACCATGAAAGGAGAAATCAACAGTAACACAATAATAGTGGGGGACTTTTAACACCCCACTTTCATTAATAGACCAGATGGACTTACTTGATGTTTATAGAGCATTCCATCCAAAGCAGCTGAATACACATTCTTCTCAAGTGCACACAGAATATTCTCCAGGGTTGATCACTTTCTGGGCCACAAAATGAGCCTCAGTAATTCAGGAAAATTGAAATCATGTCAATCATCTTTTCCAACCACAACGCTGTGAAATTAGAAATCAATTACAAGAAAAAAACTGTTATAAACATAAGCACATGAAGGTTAAACAATATGCTAATAAACAACTGATGAATCACTGGAGAAATCAAAGAGGAAATCAGAAAATACCTAGAGACAAATGACCACATAAACATAGTGACCCAAAACCTATGGGATGCAGCAAAAGCAGTTCTCAGAGGGAAGTTTGTAGCGATACAATCTTGCCGTGGGAAACAAGAATCTCAAACAACCTAACCTTATATCTAAAGCAACTAGAGAAAGAACAAAGCCCAAAGTTACTAGAAGGAAAGAAATCATAAAGATCAGAGCAGAAATAAATGAAATAGAGATGAAGAAAACAATAGAAAAGATCAATCATCGTGTCCTTAAGTGAGTAAGAAGGGAGTGGGGGTAGGCATTGAAAGAGTGGGAGACCATGACAGGTGGTAGGATCATGACCTGATACTCAAAAAAATTGTCAGAATCAGGACAGTAGTAGGAGGGAACTTGAAATTCTCTTTCAAGCAGCAGTGAAGGTATGAATTTCTCTGCATCATACATATTCTTTTGGTGCCTGACTTGTTATTTGATACAGTATTTGGAGTGCAGGTCACTATTGTGGCTTCATTTTTGAGGTGAGAAAACTATGACGACATGAGATCTGTGCCTGAAAAGATCTCCAGCCCAGGAGGGTCAGCAGATCCCTAACAGCCTTCCTGTTAGCAAAGGGAAACAGTGGGTGACAAATACTGACCATCAGTACCTTGGTCACAGAATCAATTCTGTTTTTCAGCAAATGGGGCAGGAGAGTATTTTTGAAGCATTTTTTTTTTCCTTTTGGCCTTAAAGGATTAGAGTGGGTATAGTTCCTCATCTTCCCATTTCCCCTTTTGGTAGCACGTGGGCCCAGCAGCTGGTAGACATGTACTGAGAGCCTGTTCAAGGCAAAGAAAACTGATGCTTGTACACCGCTCAATGGAGAACTGGAAATCTTTTGAGGGAAGAGCAGAAGCACCTTCTCACCTGCCTTGTGGCGAGCAGAGTGACAGAGGTGACCACATTGTCACTCAATGATGTGGTGGAGCATCACTCCTCCAGGGCCCTCTGTTCAACAGTCTCCTCAGTTAGTGGGAGCAGGGGCCACATTGGGAGCCCAGGAAATATGAGAGCCTTTCCCAGAGATAACTACTGCTGCTCCCCACTGAACATCTGCTTCCCTAAGAAGCTAAATTTTAAGGGCAGAGATAAGGCATAGTTTGATAGACATTTGTTTGATAGGCTCAGTTTGATAGACATTCGTTGGCTGTCTTCTGCATATCAGACTTTATAGACTGTGTGCAGACAAGACCACTGCCTTGGGAGTTTATAGTGTACCCGGGGAGATGCACTGTAGCTCAGAGAGGGTGAATGCCTCTCATGGGGCAGGAGAGGGTGGGGTTAGCTCCTGAAGGCTAGAATGGGAGAAACCAAGGAAGATTCCAAGAGGTCATGACATCTGAAGATTACACTGGCTCCACTGTGGGAGGTGGACTGGAAGGCAGCGAGGTGTGAGGCATACAAACAAGCTGGGAGGCTGTTCTGTTTGACTGGATGACAGGTGATGAGGAAGTGAACTCAGCTGTGAAGGGTGAGTGGACTCTGGAGACACATTTTTGCCGAAAAGGATCAGGTCAAAGTTTGGATCCCAGAAGCCCACAGTTTTCTCCAGTGGCCTTTATCAAGCTTTAATGTTTTCCTTTGCTCCATTAGAAATGCAGTGCTCGTCACTGCTACGGCTTGCTTCTCTAACTGGGCTGCTCCCTGACCAGAAGCTTTCACACGTTGAGCAGTGCTTGCCAGAGAGACGGGCCTCTAGGTTTATCCTGCTGTACGTCCTGTCTCTCCTGTGGGTCCCTGGTGCCGCTTCATTTAACATCGAGCACACCTCCAGTGGAGGTGGAGGAAAGAAGACTCCTGGAGAATGCCTTCAGAGGTTTTTAATTTCCCATAAGTTGTACTCATTTCCCTAAATTGGCATTCTTTTCATGACCATGTGCTGAGAAAAAAAAAGAAATCTGTTGGTTACAGATTCCTTGAAGATATGCAAAGTATAATGGAAGTTTACTTGAAAGTATTCGAAGTACAGTGAAAAGAACATGAGGTCAGAAGACATGCATTCAGTCCTGGTTACTTGCTGCTGTTCCTCTCTGTTCCCACATTTCCGTATCAGTAAAACAGAGATAATATTTTTATATACTTTATGGGAATGTTGGAAGGATTAAATGAGAGCTGAAATACGAAAGTGTTTTTAAATTCTAAAGCATTATATAAATGTCAGGCCTTCCTATTAATTAGCATGCTGCCTGAAGCTCCAGAATTATGCTGATTTTCTTTACATTTCTCTTCCTCAGCCATTCCTTGTAAGTACTGATCCAACTGCAAAAACAGCAGGATCTTCCCGCGCCCTTTGCCACAGCAGTGTGTAACTGTCCGCACTGTGACGTCTCATGTTGCTGACTTTGGGCCAGTTAATTTGGGCTGTGCTGCGGGAGGGGGCGTGCCTCAGAGATACCCCTCTGAGGTGGTGCATGAAATGCCCTTGAGAACTCGACCCAGGGATGTCTTTGAGCCTCTCGAATGGGGCTATTACGTTTCCTCTGTTTTCATGAAACAATGGTTTTTGTACTTGAGCAATTTATGTAGCAAGGAGGAGAATGTCACTATCCATGTGTAATAGTCACTCATGTCTTAGACCCTAGATCAGGTGGGCTGCAGGCCTAGCTGTTATCTAGCTCTTCCTGAGGAAGGGTTTTCATAAGCCTGTAACATACCACCACATGGTCTTTTTAGAAATGTAAGCAGGTTAGTTTCTCAAATGTTTAAGTCCCTGAAATTTATTGTTTTTAATGTGGGGGCCACTCTCCAGTTGCCGTGTGCAGGCTTCTCAGTGCAGCGGCTTCTCTTGTGGAGCACAGGCTCTCGGGTGCACGGGCTCCGGTAGTTGCGGCATGTGGGCTCAGGAGTTGCAGCTCCCAGGCCCTAGAGCACCCGCTCAGTGGTGGTGACACATGGAACTTAGCTGCTCTGTGGCATGTGGGATCTTCCAAGGCCGGGGATCAAACCTGTGTCTCCTGCACTGGCAAGCAGATTCTTTACCATTGAGCCACCAGGGAGGCCCAAGCCCCTGAAATATAAATCTGCCTTCTTTAGAGCTCACTTTGACATCATTTTTTCCCTTCCTTTATCCATCTCTCTGTCTTTCTAGCCATCTGACATCCGTTTAATCAGCAGGTATTTTTGAACACTGCCAGAAACTATGATGGATCTTAAGTGTATATGACGGTGAACACAAATTCCCTGTCCTCTTGAGCCCTACAGTATAATGGGGAGGCTGGCATTAAATAAATAACCATCTAGATCAGTCTAGAATTACAGCCCTGTTAGGTACTTTAAGAGAAAAGTACAGGGTGCTCAGAGAGAAGGAGTCGGCAGGAAGACGCCCCTGGAGTCTGCTTTTATGTCATGAAGCCAGCTGGTTAAGCAGGTTTGGAAATCAGAAAATGTTTATTGAAAAGCTATAATGTTCTTGTCACAGCACTGGATTATTTAGGAGTTATGAAAGAAGCAATTAGACATAGATTTTTACCTTTGAATAATTTACAACTTTTGTAGTTCATTTTGTAGTATTTTGTAGGGATTCCCTGGTGGCTTAGATGGTGAAAAAAAATAAGAGTCTACCTGCAATATGGGAGACTGGAGTTCGATCCCTGGTTCAGGAAGATTCCTCTGGAGAAGGAAATGGCAACCCACTCCAGTATTCTTGCCTGGAAAATCCCATGGACGGAGGAGCCTGGGGGGCTATAGTCCACGGGGTTGCAAAGAGTCAGACACAACTGAGGGACTTCACTTTCACTTTCACTTTTTGTAGTTATACATAAACACCTTGAAAATAGTATTAAGACCATGTGAAAGTGTTAGTCACTCTGTTGTGCCTGACTCTTTGTGACCCCATGGACTGTAGCCCACCAGGCTCCTCTGTCTATGGGATACTCCAGGCAAGAATCCTGGAGTGGGTAGCCATTCCCTTCTCCAGGGGATCTTCCTGAGCCAAAGGTCAAACCTGGGTCTCCTGCACTGCAGGCAGATTCTCTACCATCTGAGCCGCCAGGGAAGACATTAAGACCATAGAAGGTGCTGGGTGGCGTGCTAAAACTTCAGAGAGAGGAGAGCTCTGTGGAGGTTATAGTGTCCTAGGAAGTCCTCCTGGAGGAGGCAGTGCTTAGCCGAAGAGTACAAGAAAAAGGATTTGTATTCGTGGTAAAGAGGGCAGAATCATATCTGTAATTCAAGGAGAAGAAATCATGAGCACAAGTGGAAAAAGTAAAAGAAGCCTGTTAAATGAGGGGACTGGAGGGTCCATAGAGGAAAGCTTCATTTACCTCTTTGATTTAAATTTGCTTTTAGTTAGAGTGATCTGGAATATATTATCCAAATGAGAACACTTTTGAAAGTAAAAGGGGCCCTGCCCTGGGCGAGTTGAGATAGGTGGTCATCCTGTTGTAATGTGACTGGAATACGAGAGCTTATTCCAGAAAGCAAGATTGGAGAGCGGAGCATGTGGTTATGGTCAGTCCGTGTTTACCATCGGATTTGCCTGTAGGTTACTTATTTGATTTAATTTTCAGACGTTCCTTGGTGCCATAGCCTGGGTTGGGTCTTAGCTGTCTGAAAGGGAAGCGGTGAGGCTAGTTTGAAGATGGTACCAGCACGTAGAAAAATCATACTCTTGAGTATGTGCCAGGGGAGACTCAACCCCAGGGGAAGCAACCTAAAATTATTAGGCCAGTACTGTGACTGGCGCAAATTTAGGAATTCTAAATATCTATGAATATGTAAAGAGGCGTGTTTGCTGTTGAAATTGTTGGAAGATAAGCAGAGTTTCCTGTTGGACTGTTGGAGAAGGACTCACAAAGAGGGCTGAACGTCGTAAACCTGTCTGGGAGAATGGCTGCCCAGATGCCCACCCATGCTCTTCCTATTAGGCTTCTTCACTTTATCAGAGGACTAGAGAGGCCAGACCACATTAGTTGGAGAGAAGATCTAGACATGAGATTTTTATTTAACTTTTTAATTTTACTTGTAGCATAATTACTTCACAGTATTGTGATGTTTCTTTGCCATATAGCAGTATGAATTAGTCATAGGTATACATGTGTCCCCTCCATCGGGCACAAGATCTTGATAACCATTTTCTAGTCTCCTCCCACACATACCTGGTACCAGAGCTGCAACTTCCTCTCCCTGAGTTTGCTGTGTCTGTGTCTGGCTAATATTATTAGAGTTTATCAAACTTCCAAGATACAGGGGCGAAACTCGTTGACATATCACTTTTTAAACCAGACACATTTGTCACTCTATGGACATCTCATATTACATACTTTCTAAAATGAGCGGATTTTTTTGTTTTCTTTCTTTCTTTGAAGCATGATTTAATAGCTACTTGTATAGGATAGCTGGACAAGTGGGTGGATGTAATGGTTACTCTTTGAGATTCCCCAGAGAGGAGTGAAGGGAGACTGTTGCAATAATTCAGCTGGATGGTGGCTTCCTTTCTAAGGGTGGTGAGAGTGTTTGGCTGAGGGAGTCTGGTGGGAGATGCCTCTCCAGGATGTTGGAGTTGGCCTCCTGAGCAGCAGAGCCTGTCTGTAGCTTTAGGAACAAGTCGGGAGGCCCGGCCACCGCTTTGCAGCCCCTTTCCACCCACTTCTTCCTCCTTCGTTGTAGGTCCCTTCTGTTTTACTGTCTTTGCCTTCAACTTTGACTTTTGGATTGTGATGTTTTATTCTTTCCCATTTTGGAACCTATTGGCCTCATCCAATTGAATTTTAGGCTTGCCTGACGAGGGATGTGAGATAATTTGGGGACACTTAGTAGGGCAGGATTTCAAAGCCCTGCCCAGTGTATAATTACAGGTAGATGCAAGCGAAGAGTCAGAACTTAGCGTCTTCAGCTGGAGTGGTAGGAGAGGGGCCTTTACTCATCAGCGGATTTCTGTAGAGCCAGGTGGGGGCTGCGGTGATAGCACCTGACGCTTGTGTTCTTTCGGTGTCCAGCGCAGGATCCTCATGGAGGTTTTCAGCTGAGACTGTTACTTTCCTTTTAGCATCCAGGAAGTGAATCTAGCAGCTGTGAGGTCGTGGTACCCGAATCCAGTTTGATTCTGTGTCATTGTCTCGTGGATAGCAGCCATCATGTCCCAACCCTAACCCCAACATAAGCAGAACTGTTTGTTTCTGAAAGATAAGAAGACCATTGGAAAATCACTGTAAAGTGAAAACTAATTGTAAACTCTTGTCCCAGTTATTGCTGCATCCAAAACTTAATGGTATTAAAGGGCAGCAGTAATTTGTTATTTTTTGTCTCATGGTTCTGGGGACTCACTGGGCCCAGTGGGCCATTCTTCAGCTTCTAAGGGTTCTTATGCATTGGCCATCAGGTGGTGGTTGGCACTGGGGCATTTCAAAGGCTTTGCATGTGTGCATGCTTGTTAAGTTGCTTCAGTCATGTCCAACTCTGTGTGACCCTAAGGACTGCAGCCTGCCAAGCTTCTCTGTTCATGGGATTCTCCAGGCAAGAATACTGGAGTGGGTTGTCACACCCTCCTCCAGGGAATCTTCCCAACCCAGGGATCAAACTTGCATCTCTTAAGTCTCCTTCATTGGCAGGCAAGTTCTTTACCACTAGCACCACCTGGGAAGCTCCTCAAGGGCTTTCCCACACATCTAACAGTGGGTGCTGGCTACTGGTTAGCTCTCAGCTGGGACTCCTGGCCAAAACACCTAACGTGGCTTCTCCATGTGGCCTGTGCTTCCTCATAGCATGGTGGCTGGCTTCCAGGAGCTAGAATCTCAAGAGCGGTGTAGCTTTTATGACCTAGCCTTGGAATTCACACAGTATCACTCCCACCTCATTCTTTTCATTGAAAGCAAGCCAGTCTAATAGCCCATGGTCAAGGGGAGAGGAATTAGACTTCCCCTGTTGATGGGAAGAGTGTCAAAGAATTTATGGACATGTTTTTAAAGCATCACTGCTCTTTTGATGCTGTTCTTCATCCAAATTAGACAATTTTTCGGGGAAAAAAAAACTTTTTTGAAGGCGATATCTTGCAGAAGAGACATATGGTGCCCAAAATAGTCCAGCAGGCTGTTCCCATCTGCAGCTTCTTGCTCCCCAGGTGGAAAGGGAAACTGCACCCCCTGGCAGAGTTTGGCTCTGGGCCAACGGTTGGACATGCTTCACATGGCGTTCAGATCCTCTCTGTGGAATTGGATCTCCCTCCTAACCCATGACTGAAGTGCTCTTGTCTGTTCCCCGCACGTCAGTCACAGTGGTGCCTTCCGCTCTTTTGTCTTGGCCAAGAATACTGAGAAACTGTAAGGGAAAAGCCGTCAGAGTTTTGATACTTTCGTAATTCCTTAACTCCTCATTGTTCTCCTCCACTTTCTTTTTCTTTTCTAGTCTGGGGCTGTCCCGGTTTCCTTCTCCCCAGATGGTTTCCTTCTACCCTTCGCCTGGCAGCACTACCACCTCAGGCTAGATTTGGCTTCAGAACACACTGTTTTGCCCATTGTATTCTTCAATTGCTTAATCACTGTCTGCTGACATTTGCAGGAGAATAAACCCTTCTTTTTTTTTTTTTTTTCCAAAGCTCAGAGGGTCTACTTTGCCTTGTTGTGAAGTTAGTTCTCTGGAAACAGACTGAGCTTCAAGCCCATGATATAAGAGCCTCTCAGGCTTGAAGCATGCATATATACAGTGTCTTAGAACCACCACTGCTTTCTGCTAGCTTAGACCAAGCAACTGGCATCATCAGAGACATGTATTCTCAGTTTCTTGAGAGTTAGAACATCTCTTGTTGACTCTCACAACTCCTAGCACATATTAGGGTCTTAGAAAATATTTATCAATTTCTTTGATGTTGCGTAAAGGAAAAAGGTGAAATAAGAACTTCTTCAGAAGTTTCTCAGGCCCTTGTGTGTGCTTGTCTGCTTAGGCGCTCAGTCATGCCCGACTCTTGCGACCCCATGGACTGTAGTCTGCCAGGCTCCTCTGTCCATGGGATTCTCCAGGCAAGAATACTGGAGTGGGTTGCCAATTTCCTTCTCCATCTCATGCCCTTATTTGGTAAAATGAAGATCACTGAGTAGCTTCTATTTCTTGTCTGCTGGAGTGCTCCTTCTTAGGACCCAGGCCCCACCCCTTAAGAAAATCCAATCCACAGACTGTGCAGAGAGGAGCCCGCAGGAGTCTGAGGCCTGCAGCACTAGCTGAACCCACAGCCCATGGCTGGCCATGAGCGTGCCAGCCAAAGCCCGGTGAAACAGAAAGCCCATCAGTCAGTCACAGCTTTGAGAGAAGTAATAGGTGGCTTTTTTTTTTCAAACTGGGAAAAAAAAAAAGATTGTTGAGTTATTTCAGAGTATACTCGTCATTCCCCCTTTGTAAAACTTGCCAGGACCGTCAGCCTGCTGTGGCCCCCAGCGCACTTACTGTTTGTCGCAGAGAAGTAGCTGAGATGAGGGTCCAGAGAGTAGGCACAGCCCCCTTCCGGAACCCCGTTCGGTGTCTTCTCCACGGGAATGTGATGGAGCACGTGGTGCCTTAACATCTCAGGAGCTGTCAGACGGGGAAAGGCCGCTCACGAGCTTTTCTCCCGCAAACGTAGTGGGGCTGAAGGTCAGAAAATGACCGCTTGCTTAATACCAGCTCTTTCTCAACCTCTTCATCCTGAATATTGGTGAAAGGTGACTGGTCAAGAGGTTATACTATCCAGAGGTTATACTGGTTGGCCAAGGCCACCCGTCAGTGAAATGATCCACCCCGTACACGTGTCTCGCAGTGACGTGATTCCTGTTTGTGCCTCAGCAAGCTTCCAAGTCGTTACACAGTGTGGATTTGGAGGTCGCTGCCGAAGAGTCAGAACCGTGAATATGTTTGTTGAATGTTCAGGGTCTGCGGACATGCCCTCTGAAAACAGGGTCATTCTGGTCACATGGGTAATGACGATTTAGCAAATTTTGTGTAAACTGAAACCCGAATTGGTTTCTTGACCTTTTGCATGAATATTCTCTTTGCTAGGTAAGAAATGGCAGGGCGCAAGTAGTTCTGTATTCCTGGGGTACACGATGAGAGGCTGGGGCGGGTAACAAGCGAGGCCGTAAGGGAAGTAGGAACCAGAAGACGACATGCAGCGTCCTGTCATAGCGGACGTGAGCGCCTTGCTCCTCGTTGTCAGAGCCTCCCACATGCCCCATGGCCTTGTGTCCTGCCTCTCCTCTTCCTCCAGTCGCTGTCGGCTCCCCCAGCTGCTGTTTTACTGACATTTAGGCCACTTGTGTTGTACAGTTTGTGTCCTACAGGTATTTCTCATCTAGTTTGTACCATATTTTGTTTTATAAACCCTGGATATGTGAAGCCTCCTTCCCCACCCAAACTTTTTAGGGAAAAACAGAATGCCCTCTTTGTTGACATGGACGCCCTCCTCATCTCACTTGTGCGCTAACATCCCACCATGGCGTCGCATTCCCCACGTGCACTCCAGAGACCCCCACTTTGCTCTGCCCCTCCAGTGGCTTTAGGACTGAATTGTTTGGGAAGAGAAGAGGAAGAAGAGCTTCACATGACTTTTTTCTTTATATATATATATTTTATTGAAGTATAGCTGACTCAGTGTTTCAGGTGAATAGCAAGGTGATTCAGTTATACAGATACACATATATTATTTTTGAAATTATTTTCCATTATAGGTTATTACAAGATATTGACTGTAGTTCCCTGTGCTATAGTTAACCTTTGTTGCTTGTTGCATATCTATTTTTTTTTTAATTAGAAATCTTGCATTCTATTCATACTAAGTCAAGCCAGTGGAATCAAAATGTCATAATTTTAATTAGGCAAAAATTCATAAGTTTTCTAAAATATATATATTATACATTCTATTTACGTATATATATGTATACAAAAGCTTTTCTACAACACTTGGTATAGGCTTGAGAAAGAACATTGAAAAAGAAAAGAAGAGATGGAGAAATTGGAAAATATAAACTAAGTGAAATGAGAGCACTGAAATGGAAAAAGTGAAACAAACTAGATAAAAGTAAAAGATCATCAGATAGTCCAGTTGCTTTTAAGCATGGCTGCTCATTAGAAACATATCTGGAGCTTTGGAGAAAAAAAAGCAATACCTGGGCATTTGTATTTTTCAAAAAACTCCAAGATAATTCTGATACATGTCTGGATTTTGAAAAGTGATTACAGGTTTTCTTTTAAATGGTAGTTTTGGTAATATAGGATTCTATTATTTTTCTGTTGACCAATCATGATGCAGTAGTATTAAGTGAGAAATAGTTACATAATCATAATAGTAAAGGATGTTTATCAGTTTTTTCACAATCAATAGCCAGACAAAAAATAAAAGAATTACATTTGCAAGCCATAATGGGAACATAATTAACCTAACAATATAGAATAATTACATACAATTTGGGAAGGGGGTCAAGCAGAGTGATGTGGTAAGTGGAAATGCATACATGCACACGTTTTCAAATGCCCAGCCAGTCTATGTCTTTTGGTTGGGACATTTAATCCATTTACATTTAAGGTAATTATTGATATATATGATCCTTTTATCACTTTCTTATTTGTTTTGGGTTTATTTTCTGTAGGTCTTTTCCTTCTCGTTTCCTGCCTAAAGAAGTTCCTTTAGCATTTGTGGTAAAGCTGGTTTGGTGGTGCTGAATTCTGTTAACTATTAATTGCTGGAAAGCTTTTGATTTCTCCATCAAATCTGAAGGACAGTCCTGCTAGGTAGAGTATTCTTGGTTGTAGTTTCTTTCCTTTCATCACTTTAAATAGATCATGTCATTCCCTTCTGGCTTGTAGAGTTTCTATTGAGAAATCAGCTGATAGCCTGATGGGCGTTCCCTTGTATGTTATTTGTCATTTTTCCCTTGTTGCTTTTAATATTTTATCTCTGTCTTTAATTTTTGTCAGTTTGATTACTGTGTGTCTCTGTGTGTTCCTCCTTGGATTTATCCTTCCTGGGACTCTCTGTGCTTCTTGGACTTGACTATTTCCTTTCCCTTCTTCAGGAAATTGTTCAGCTATTATCTCTGCAAATATTTTCTCAGATCCTTTCTCTTTCTCTTCTCCTTCTGGGACCTCTGTAATGCAAATGTTGGGTGTGTTTAATGTTGTCCCAGAGGTTTCTTGGGCTGTCTTAATTTCTTTTCATTCTTTTTTCTATATTCTGTTCTGTGGCAATGATTTCCACCATTCCGTCCTCCAGGTCATTTATTCGTCCTTCTGCCTCAGTTATTCTGCTATCGATTCCTTCTAGTGTACTATTCATCTCCGTTTGTTTGTTCTTTAGCTCTTCCAGGTCTTTGGTAAACATTTCTTGCATCTTCTCAATCTTTGCCTCTATTCTTTTCCTGAGATCCTAGATCATCTTCAGTATCATTATTCTGACTTCTTTGTCTGGAAAGTTGCCTATCTCCACTTCATTTAGTTGTTTTTCTGGGATTTTATCTTGTCCCTTCATCTGGGACATAACTTTCTGCTTTTTCACTGTGATTATTGTTGTTCTTCAAGCGCTCAGTCATGTCTGACTCTTTGCAACCACGTGGACTGCAGCATGCCAGGCTTCCCTGTCCTTCACCATCTCTCATAGCTTGCTTAAACTCATATCCATTGAGTCAGTGATGCCATCCAACCATCTCATCCTCTGTCGTCCCCTTCTCCTCCTGCCTTCAATCTTTCCCAGCATCAGAGTCTTTTCTAATGAGTCAGTTCTTCCCATCAGGTGGCCAAAGTATTGGAGCTTCATTGTGATTAGCTTTCTGTAATATGATTTTTGGTTCAGCTGCTGTGAGACTGTGCTTCTTGCTTCTTCTGTCCACCCTCTGATGGCTGAGGCTGAGAGGCTTGCGTTATCTTCTTGATGGGAGGGACTGGCAATGGGAAAACCTGGGCCTTGCTCTGGCGGGCAGGGCCTTGCTCAGTAAAGCTCTAATCTGTTTATCTGCTGATGGCTGGGGTTACACTCCCTCCCTGGTAGTTGTTTGGCCTGAGGCGATCCAGCCCTGGGGTCTACAGGCTCTATGGTCAGGTTAATGGGAACCTCCAAGAGGGCTAACGCCAAGGGGGACCTTCCAGGCCTGCTGCGGGTGCCCCCGTCCCTGTGGTGAGCCCCTGCCCATCCACACCTCCACAGGATGCCCTCCAACACTCGCAGGTAGTTTTGTTCAGTCTCCTGTGGGTCAGTGCTCCTTTCCTCTGGGACTTGGTGCACGCAAGATTTTGTTTGGGCCCTGCAAGACTGGAGTCTGTTTTCCCCAGCCCTGTGGAAGTCCTATAATCAAGTCCTGCTGGCCTTCAAGTTCAGATTCCCTGGGGATTGCCAGTCCCCTTGTCAGGTCCCCAGGCTGGGAAGACTGACATGGGATTCAGAACCTTCACAGCAAGGGAGAACTTCTTTGGTATTTATTGTTTTCCAGTTTGTGGGTTACCCCCCCAGTGGGTATGGGGTTTGGTTTTATTGTGATTGTGGCCCTCCTACCGTCTCTCTCTGCAGCTTCTTCTTTGTCTTTCAAAGTGGGATATCTTTTTTTTGTTGGGTTCCAGCATCCTCCTGTCAATGGTGGTTCAACAGCTAGTTGTGATTTTGGTGCTCTCGCAGGAGATGAGCGCATGTCCTTCTCCTCGGCCGTCTGGAACTGGAAGCCTCCTGAGCCTATTCAAAAAACCAGTACAGCAGTTGGTCAGATAAAGTTCTGTCTTCAAGGGCCCGGCATTCCAGGGGAAGAGTAACACATAGCCTGTAGCTCCTGTCTCCTTTTCTCTACTTTGGAAAAGAGATAAGTGTTACTGCTGTCTTTTCATGAGGGTCTCTCACCCTCATGAGTGACATTTCATGAAATGTCTCTCACCCCATTTTCTGTTAAAGAATATTAAAGATCAGCCACATTTTTGCTGCACTATTAGCCTTCTGAGCAGTTCTTAAACTGCTTGATATGAGACTCAGGACTGACCATGGCTAAGAGTAAGTCTTGAGGGAACCGTGAGAGTCTCTTCAGAACTGAAGATTTCTCTGAAAGGCCAGCTCTGTTCTGAGGGTTGTGGAAGTCTGTCACTGAACTAAGTGCAGGAGAACAAGAGACAGAGACAAAAACAAAAAAAGAAGGAGCTAGCTTTGAAAAAGAAAGAAAACTGGCAGGGAGCCCAGACTACAGGTTCACAGGAATAAGCAATGTTTGGATGGACGGGTGGATGAATGGATGGAGAGACAAGACAAATATAATAGAGAACAGCCTGAGTACTAAGGTGTTTCTCTTTAAAATTAAAAATTGACCCAGCATTTGCGTCGTGCCTGTTGAACTGGTGACGTCAGGGACTGGCAGGCGGTCTTCCACGGACGTCAGCAAGAGCAGATTGAAATCGCCACAGCAGAGTGCCCCCCAGCCCTGATAAACAGGACTGATAATTGAATAAGAAAACATTCTGAGCTGTTGGCTAATTATGCCATTCAGGCAGTTTGTCCACGTCTGTTTCATCCTTGAATTGCCTGAGTGCTTTTCTCACTGGGAGGGGAAGTGCTTCAGTGTCCATTTCGCGCCTCTCTAAATTATGCTGCCTGTGCTTCGCAGGGCAGTACTTTGGCATTTCACATTATTACAGACATTGTTACATAAGTTTTGATCGCATTAGTGTGGTTCTAGCTTGTGATTCAATCTGATGTTTGTTTCCATGTGTATGAATGTGTGCCTATGCATGTTATTCCAATGCTCAACTGTTCTCTTCCTTCACAGAGGCAAATAACCAATTTGTTCTTCCAGCAACTGTATAATAATTTGAACAGCCCCAGTTGTGCTTGATTTAGTAAAGCTACAGATGAGAAAGAAATCAATCTAGAAGAGCAGCCATAGTATTAGAAGTGAAGGATTCAAGCCAACTTATTCTTTTGGTTAAAAAGAAAAAACAAAAACACACACTCTTCCCATCCCAGCACAGAAGTGTTTGTGTTGATTGTTTACTCATTTCATCCACTGGAAGAAATTCGTGGCTTTAGATGTTAAAGACAGATAATTAAAAATCATAAGCAAAATCTGCAGGACAAAGGAAGATTCATCTTCTAACAAGGATTTTTCCAGTACCAAATTTGGATGATAAATTTTTTCTTAACTTTTCCTTATATTTAGTTCTCACCTTTAATATAGCTTTGTGTTCAGACCTAACTAGAAATGCCTCCATGCTTCCTGAACACAGTATCTAGAATCTGATGCCAATTTTTTTTATGCTTGCACACAGAGGAAGCACGGGAGAATCCCAGTTCTTCTTGGGTCTCTTGTTGTATCTGAGTCAGATACATGCTTGTCCTTAGCAAGATGGTTATTTCAAGCCACACATTCAATGGGACTTGGAAATCATCACTGAGAGTAGGAAAGAACTTGTAACTTTGAGAAACCTTAGGAGGCTGGTGTGGGGAGAGTGTAATGGGCAGGGAAGGACATGGCACAAGGTGAAGAGAGACAGGTTAGTGAGGGCTAGATCTCCTGCCGCTTTGTCAATCACTGCAGAGTCTGGATTTTTATTCAAGCCACTTCCCAATTGTTGCTGAGTAGACAGAGAATTTAATCTGAGATGCCTATAGATTTGGTTATGGATGGGCAAGTTTTTTGGGTTTTTTTTTTTTGTTTGTTTGTTTTTTGCTTAGTATACCTTGAATGTTGAATGGGTCAAATAAAATAATGTATAGTAAATGCTTCTGCCACACTTATGCACCCCTCAGTGTTTATCCTCTCTTCTGAATATGTGTATCATCACTTTGAACTTCTGTATTAGCTATTTAGTATTTAGTGTGTGCTGTATTATAGTTGGGCTGCCCTGGTGGCTCAGATGGTAAAGAATCTGCCTGCAATGCAGGAGACTCAGGTTCAATCTGTGTGTTAGGAAGATCCCTGGAGAAGAGAATAGCTACCCACTCCAGTATTCTTGCCTGGAGGATTCCATGGACAGAGGAGCCTGGCGGGGTCGCAAAGAGTCGGACGACTGATCGACTAACACAGAGACATATTATAGTTATATATCACTCATAATCTGTTTCTTCCAACTGTAGATTATTAGCTCTTTGAGAACAGAGGCTTTTGTGTCTTCAGGGCCAGCACACAAAACTCTACACGTAGCAAGTACATACGGTTTCTGTGTTTGTTCATTTTAAGGATTTGAGGTTTCCTCGATTTAAAACATTGTCTCAGTTCAGTTCAGTTCAGTCACTCAGTCATGTCCCACTCTTTGTAACCCCCATGGACTGTAGCACGCCAGGCTTCCCTGTGCTTCACCATCTCCCTGAAGTTGCTCAAACTCATGTCCGTTGAGTCGGTGATGCCATCCAACTGTGTCATCCTTTGTCATCCCCTTCTCCTCCTGCCTTCAATCTTGCCCAGCATCATGGTCTTTTCTAATGAGTCAGCTCTTTGTATCAGATGGCCAAATTGTTGGAGTTAGCTTGAGCATCCGTGCTTCCAATGAATATTCAGGGTTGATTTCCTTTAGGATTGACTGGTTGGATCTCCTTGCAGTCGAGGGGACTCTCCAACACAGGTCGAAAGCATCAATTTTTTGGTGCTCAGCCTTCTTTATGGTCCAACTCTCACATCCATACATGACCACTGGAAAAGCCATAGCTTTGACTATATGGACCTTTGTCAGCAAAGTAATGTCTCTTTTTTAATACGCTGTCTAGGTTTGTCATAGCTTTAAAAATTATTACAAGTGAAATATCTCACCTACTTTTGCTTATGTTTGAATTTTTCTATTGTAACAAATGGTAAACAAAGTAGGTTGTTTAAAAAAAAAGCATTAAGGTGCAAAGTACAAAATGAAAATCATGTGCTATATCATAGAGACAGCATAATTTTTGTTTTATTGGTATTGTTAAAACTGCCTCTCCAAGTGGTTCTTGCAGGTTTCCACTTTTACTGGCAGTATCAGTTTCCTCATTCCTCCCCAGTGTTTGATACTGTCAGACTTCTCAGCTTTTGCAAACATGATTATTGAAAAATTATATCTAGATTTACATTTCCCTGATTATTAGTAAAATTGAACATCATTTCACATGGTTATTGCAGTCCAGTAAGCAAGAATACTGGAGTGGGTTGCCATTTCCTTCTCCAGGGGATCTTCTTGACCCAGGGATCGAACCTGTGTCTTGTGTCTCCTGCATTGGCAGGTGGATTCTTTAACATTGCGCCACCCAGGAAGCCCCAGTACATGTTACTTGCTCAGTCATGTCCAACTCTGTGACCCCATGGACTGTAGCCCACCCGGCTCCCCTGTCCATGGAATTCTCCAGGCAAGAATACTGGAATGGGTTACCATTCTCTTCTCCAGGGGATCTTCTTGACCCAGGGATCAAACCTGGGTCTCCTGCATTGCAGGCAGATTCTTCACCATCTGAGCCACCAGGGAAGCCCAGCCCATCTATAGATAGATAGATAGATAGATAATTTATATATTTTAGATGCCTTTCCTCTGTTATGTATGTGGTAGCTATTTTGTCCCAGTCTCCATTATTCTTTTACCTTTGTTTCAGCTTGCCTTTTGCATTCAGCAGTAATACGTAGTGACTCTTCTATTTTAGGGAGGTCAGTATTTTTTATGATAACATATCCCATGTATCGCCCTGTATGGTTTTCTGAAATGATCTCTTTTAGAATTCCTTGGCATGACCAAGAAGTTAGCATAGAAATGGTCAGCATAGAAATAGTCATCACCACGTACTGTCCTGCCGTCACCATGTACTGTCTTGTCTTCACCATGTGCTGTCTTGGCCTGTAAAAGGGCCTATAACCCCTTTTGTTTTCATATTTTTAAATTATTTTATAAATAACATAAAAGTAATAATGAAAGGATAGTTTTAAAAAACATCATTTGAAATCTTTATAAGAATTTGAATGTAGCAACCCCAATCTTTATTCCATATTTTTCTGCTTTTGAATATGTATACCTGAAATAGACTTCTCTGGTGGCTCAGAAAAAAGGGTAAAGAATCTGCCTGCAATGCAGGAGACCCAGCTCCTATCCCTGGGTCAGGAAGATCCCCTGGAGAAGGGAATGGCAACCCACTCCAGTATTCTTGCCTGGAAAATTTCATGGACAGAGGGGACTGGCAGGCTACAGTCCGTGGGGTCGCAAAGAGTCGGACATGACTGAGCACACACACACATGTGCACGTACACACACACACACACACACACACACACACACGCTATCGTCATTAGAGTCTTGAGTGCTGCTGTCTCTGCATTCATCTTCTGATTTGTCTAATTGTGAAGTGTCTTCCTCTGTTGATTTTCTTCTCATTGGCATTATGGACAGGAAATTTTTAAATTCTGAACTCTCAGCTGTGCTCAATTAAAGCTAAATGCAGGCTGCAAAGATAGTGTCACAAATCTTTTGTACCTTATTGAAAGATGATGCATACTTTGAACAATGCAGTAAAATATAGAAGGATAATGTAATTATATCATTTTTGCATAATCCTTTTTTGGGATGTCATCATTCTTTTTCTTATATTTGTCTTTTTTTTTTTTTTAAGCATAGTTGTAAATAATGCAAGATGTAGAGGGAAAAAAGACCACTAAGATCCTTTAATATAGTTTAAATTTTATAAAAGGTTGTAATGGACCTATATGGTAGTTACAGGATAGAATGAGTTTTATTCTATTTTTGAAAATAAATATAATTTTCCTTTCTTCTTTGAAAGACTCCAAGAAGAATAAAATTACAAAATAATGATCCTTCCGAGTAGTAAGGAAACATTCCAAAAAGAAAGTAAAAAAAGTAAAATTGGGCCCAGTGGACCTAATGTTATACCAAGGAATGAGTTGACTGGAAATATGTACTGATTGTATTAGTGAAGCTTTTAGCATGGAGTCACCTGGAATGGAAATGATGCTTAATTCAGTTTAGCCTTTCTTTACTACACTGAAGCCTGCAGGAGTTTGCTCCAGCTTACAGCTTTCTGTCCTGACCTTCCCCTTGTCTGTGCAGCATGGACAGAAAGGAGAAAAATTAGCTTCTTTTTGACTGAGGCAGGTGCTTCCTCCTCCTGTTCTTTCTTTGCAGAGGCCCTGCTTTATCTCGCATGTCTCTCTTCTAAGCCTCTTTTCTCTATCAAAGCCCTTGAGCTGTTAGCTGTTGAAGTGAAGTGAGTGGCTGCTGAGCGCAGCGCACAGCCAGCATCCCAGTTGGGAAGGATCTCTAGAGGTGTGCATGCCAAGCAGGGTATCATTGTGTGCAGGCATTGCGGGAGTCTGCCAAACTCAGAAGTGGGCTGCCAGTACAAATGCCACGTTGACATGACATTTACAAGCTGAGAGTCTGGAAAAGGACTGGCAGGGGAACACCCTTCAGCTACCTCATTTAGGTTGGCAGTTTCTGGGCCAACTTTTGGTTTTTTGACTCAGAAATCGTAGTCAAGAAGTATTACTGCATATAGAATTTAAAACTATCAGTGCCACTTTTTCTAGGAAGTGATGAATCTTGTTAGCCTGTTTCCTGGGATGCAGGATAAACCAGAGTGGTAAGAGTGCAGAGTCTGGAATCAAATCTGAATGTGAATGAGGGCTTTATCACTTACTATGGGACCCTGCTCAAGCTACTTAATCTATGTGTCTCACTTTCCCATCTATAAAATCGAAGTAATATCACTTTCTTCATAGGTTTATTGTATGGATTAAATAGTACCTTAAAAAGTGTAAGCACTTTCCCCAGGGCTTGTTCAATGCTAGGTATTCAATAAATGTGAGATATTTTTCGTATTCTTTAGAAATTAGTGAGACATTCAGGGTTTTAGCTGTTCCTATCTATATTTCAGTATAAAGAGAAAAGTATAAAGAGTATAAAGAGAAAAGACTGGACTCTGTCTTTGACTTGAGAATCGCCAAAACAGTATGCACAGGAAGCCAAGGACTTAGTTTTTTCTTCACCTCTCTAGGAAAACTTAGAGGTGGAGTCAAGATCACATGAGCCTTTGGCATCTCTGCAGTCTCTGGGGTACACAAACTCTTAAGGTGTTAAGAATTTATTTCCATAATAACATTTCTTTGATTGAATTAGAACTTTTCAGTGGCAAATTCTAACACAGACCTAGAGCTATTCTGAAGGATATCCTGTGGCTTATTAGTGAGACTACCAAGACTGTCGTTTGAGTTCAGGCAAGTAGGTACTTGGTCTTTTTTTCTTTGGGCTGTGCTGGGTCTTCGTTGTGGCGCATAGGCTTAGCTGCTCCTAGACATGAGGGATCTTAGTTCCCTGAGCAGGGCTCGAACCCATGTCCCCTGCAATAAAAGGTGTGTTCTTTACCACTGGACCACCAGAGAAGCCCCAGCACTTGGTTTTGATTAAGTCGATTATCAAGATCTAGTAGCACAGCTTATATAAAATATAATCCTTACCATGGCATTTTATTCATTTCCTTTAATCATTTTCAATACCATGAGTAAATTCTCTCAAATGATAAAATTCTGTCTTTTTTTCTCTCTTGTCTTTCAGATCTTCCAAGTTGTTGCGGGCATTCTACATTCCCTTCCTGTCAGATCAGTATACAGTGTATGCAAACTACAGCATCCTCAAACCCCGGAAAGCAAAGCAGACCAGAAAGAAAAGCGGAGGTTAGCACCATGCCTGTGGGCCCAGAGGACGCCCATCCTGTTCACTGGTGATTCCACTGACAGGACGCCCTCCAAGCCATCGCTTGTAACGTGTGTAATAAAGGCCGTGTGACACGAATGCTGGAGTCTGGGTGCTTTGGGCTGGTCAGAGTCAGTCACGCTCGCTCCTTGCCTGTGTCTGCTCCGCATGTACACCTTGTCAGCTAGATGGAGACAGGCCATGCAGTCCGGGTAGATACGCTGCTCCACATCTCATTGTTTCTCTTCTGTTCGATTATTTACTAGACCGGAGAAGAGCAGAACCAACTTTGATGAAGAACTGAAAATCCTGGGATGGGATGGCAGTGTTGAACTGTTCTCCACACTCTGGCCTGGTGTCCAAGAACTGGCCTCCCTGGGGCCGGGTGAGCTGCTCCACCCAAGCTCCCTGGCAGCTCCTAGTAGACCTTCTCATTTAAATCCTAGTGCTGAAAATGAGCACAGCCTAGTTGCCAACATACATGTCCTTTCACCTCCAGCAAGACTAAGCTTTTCTAAAGCACTTCACAGGACTAGAACCGTGGCCTGGAGATATCTCAGGAAAAAGGCAACCATTTGAGGAACTGTGGCTTAATTTCTTTATATAGGATGCCTCTTGTTTTCATTTAAATCCTTTACAACAAGCTATAACTATGAAAGGTTTTTTTTTTAGCATGCTTTCTTGAATTCAAGACTTCCCTCTGTAAAGATATCAACAAACCAGACTATAACTGTTTAGGACATACATGGAGAAGATTAATTCTATCAGTTGGTGGATTTGAATGACATCACATTTTAAACTAATTTATTCTGAGACCATTTCTGAGGAAATTAAGACTCTCCCTTTTTTTTTTAAACAACCCTAGTGAAAAAGACCAGTGTATATTTATGGCATCTATTTTTGAGTCTCTCTATTGCAAAGCACATCCTGCATGGGAAACCTCTAGTCAAATAGGCAATGATAAGGACTTAATTAGAATATAAGTATATATTTCACTTTGCCTTCACACACAGTATTTCATCGTTTACAAAGCACTTTCACATTATCTTCCATTCAATCCACACAGTCATGACGTGAGGTAGACAAGGCAAGTGGTTTTATCCCCATTTTACAGATGAAGAAACTTAAGACTGGAGGGCAGGGAGCAGAGGAAGGTAAGGTGACTTGCCCAAGGCCACACAGCCAATAATAGTAACAATCGTACCACAACCTGGGTTACCTAACTTCTCATCTAGCGCTTGTCCATACTCTTCACTTGACTATGAAAACATTACTTGAAAGAATGATGAGGTTGGCCAGAGACCTGATTGATAACATCACTTTCTATTTTTAAGGAAGAGTTTTATCTGGGTTTCTCAGTTCTTCGGAGCCTCCGGTCTGCCTGTGGGTCTGACCAGCACAGCAGCGGTCCAGCATGCAGCTTGGCCTGTTGCAGGAGAGCAGTGCTCATGTTTGGAAGTCAAGCTTCTGTGCAGCCATACATGATCCAATATCAGTTCCATTTCCATTCCTATGGTCAGGCTGGGGTCACATTATAGTGCCTTATTTCCCTAAGGGTAATTATGTTTAGAATATGCAGATAAGATGCATTAATTTTTCAGAGTTTCCATCTTTCATTTTTCAAAGAGAAGAGATTTTCAGTAGGAACTGATCCTAAGAGAGGAGAAAAGAAGTGACGAGAAAAGAAACAGCTAGTTATGTTTAAAGAGTCTCCTCATTGGGGTCCACTCTGAAGGAATATCTGGGGTGGGGTGGAGCACTAGTGAGGCAATGGGTCTAGATCTTGTAGAACAGTTCCCTCCTTGGGGAGGGAACATAAACTCGGGTCCCACTGACTGCTTTAAGGATTTCTGGCATTTAATTTTCAACACTTGATTCCTGTTTTCCGAGGTAAATATTGGCACATATAGTCTGACTACAGGATAGAGAATTTTTAGTGAAATGTCTTGCCATACGTGCCGTAATGGTAAACTGTCCTTCACAGTGGCTGTTAGCGTTAGTCGCTCAGCCGTGTCCGACTCTTTGCGACCCCGTGGACTGTAGCCCGCCAGACTCCTTTGTCCATGGGATTCTCCAGGCAAGAGGACTGGAGTGGGTTGCCATTCCCTTCTCCAGGGGATCTTCCTGACCCAGGGATCAAACCCGGGTCTCCTGCATTGCAGACAGATTCTTTACCATCTGAGCTATAGGGAAGCCCCCTCACAGTGGCTAGAGCTCTCTTTTTCTGCAGAAATAAATGAGAAAGTGCAGTAATGGAGGTCAACGATGAGCGGCTTTTTTCTAATCAGAGTAGTACAATGCTGATCTGTTATATCATCTTGCAGGTTTGAAAAAAAGAATAAAAAAAACCAGCCTGCTGAGCAAGAACTTACTGTAACATAGCACAAAAAAATGTCATGATTGATATTCCTTGGGAATGTCAGTTCCTATCTCTTTAAAACCTTATTTGGTTTTCTCTGTTTTACAAACATCTTTAGTGAGAGCACAAGAAATTGCAGAACACTGTGCCAAATTCTATGGGTAAGTTGCATAAAAATGAGTGGTATTTGTTGTGAAGGTATTTTTCACATGGCTTATAATCACACTAAAACATCTCCACCTCAGCAATACAGGGAGGTTAGCTTTGCCTGGGAAAGTGTCTCAAAACACCTGGAGCAAGTAGCATTTCTCCTTCAGAGACTGAGTGGTCAGCATGAAGATAAAGTATCTGAAGTCCTTTTTTCTCCATTGTTTGTTGACTGTCAAGGAATAATAGGCTACAGATTATTGGTGGTAATCTTTGATTATGGAGGTGAGTGAGGAAGTAGGTGGTGTTGATTTAGTTGCTAAGTCGTGTCCAACTCTTGCAACCCCATGGACTGTAGCCTGCCAGGCTCCTCTCTCCATGGGATGTTCCAGGCAAGAATAGGAAGTAGATAAATTGGCAGTTCTAGGGCTCCCTGATCTCCAGATCTTACAATGCTGAGTTCCTTTACTGAACCAACCTGTGTAGTAGCATCTGTTATCAAAGTGGACCTGTCAATTTGTGGGTGTCATATGATAAGAAAGACCACTCATTTTAATCTCTTGAGATAATAACAGAAGAGTAAAGACTGCACCCTTTATTACTGAATTCAAGTTCAGAATCAGATTATCTGTTTTAAATCAAGGTGGTTCTTGATCCCAACCACTTATTTGGGTCATCTTTTTCTAGTTTGGATTTTGGGGAAGGAACACCCCATGTGATCCTACAGCCTTAGATCTGGATTGATCATTTGGGCAGAGCACAAATGGAAATCTTTTATTGTGTTTTGCATTTTGTGGGATTTGTTGAAATAATTCACTGTGATGGTGCCGTCTTCTGGCCAGTGTTGAGCAGCTCTGCTTTAAATTTGGTTAATTTCATTTTCTCTGAAGAGGGAAAAGAGGGGTCATTTAATCTTTGCCTCCACCGGCAAATAAAACTCATGTGTTAATTTCTTAGGCTCCTACATTAAACGCCTTGGGTAAACAGATAAATGGACATGTGCTCAGCTTTCTTTCTTTTTTTTTTTTTTTTGCATCAGAGACCTCTGACTTCCATATGGCATTGTTGAATTTCAAAGGCTCTCTGGTGTTTTGGTAAATCTCAGTGGATGTTGCCTTTAATTTTTCCAATATGTAATCTGTATAATCATGTGATTCCTGCTGCAAGTGAAATCAGGAAGCACTGCAGTGTTGAAGCAAGCGTGTTGTTCAGGTCATTTGTCTTCCTGATGCTTGGACTTTATTTCACATGTCAGTGTTTACATTACGTACTTGTATTTTCTGTGAAAGAAAGTTAAATAAATCTTGGCAGTTTGATTTTCCTTTTCTTAAGGTGGTATTTTCTCTTTTGCTTTTAGCTTCTAAATCTTTGGTGGAGATTGGAAACAGAAGGAGCTCAGCTCCTTCCATCACCCCCACTTTCACCCTGCAGTGTACAGACTTGCCCTCTGCAGACCAACCAACCTAGTGTGTTTATTCTAAAACTGGGGAGAAGCCATTGGCAAACCCAGTGAGGATTAGTTTTAAAACCAAGCACAGTGGGAACTTAACTACCCAGTGTGTCAACATTGTGCCTACAAGAGAGTTTCTGAGTCCATGTTACCTTTTTGAATTAAGAATCTCTGGACTTTGAGAATCTGCCATTGTTTGTTGTTCAGCTGGCCAAATGGTGTCCGACTCTTTGTGACCCCGTGAACTGCAGCACTCCAGGCTCCATCTCCCAGAGCTTGCTGAAGTTCATGTCCACTGAATTAGTGATATCTTCCAACCATCTCATCCTCTGTCACCCTCTTCTCCTTCTGCCTTCAGTCTTTGCCTGCATCAGGGTCTTTTCCAATGAGTCGGCTATTCACATCAGGTGGCTAAAGTATGAGAGTCTTCATAGAAATGAGGTCTAGTCATATCTAACATTCAGGTAATTTGCCACTTTGTCAGGCGCAATACGCTTGGTGTCTGTGTGTGTGTGTGTGTGAGTGAATCTCTAATATCATTCCTATATCTCGCACCTTAGAGTCAATAACTTCTAGAATTCTCTGGCTGATCTGTGCGGCGCTTAGTTGCTCAGTCGTGTCCAACGTTGTGACCCTATGGACTGTAGCCCACCAGGCTCCTCTGTCCATGGAATTCTCCAGGCAAAAGCACTAGAATGGGTTGCCATTTCCTCCTCCAGGGGATCTTCCCAGCCCAGGGTTCCACCCACATCTCCTGCATTGCAGGCAGGTTCTTTTACCACTGAGCCACCAGAGAAGCCCTTTTATAGAATACCATTGGTTAACTAGTTTTCTTTCTGTAGGACCCAAAATGTCCATGAAACTTGGTTTATTTCTCACAAGTTTTGAGAAGGATATTCTATTAATATAATTCCAGGAGGGAGAAATGCACAGCCTTAGTGAATTTCTTTTCCCTACCTAGAAGGTCATCCTTCTTGTTTAATTACTTGTAGGGCTGGCTTGAGTCTCCCTCTCTTTAATTGAAGCCTTTCTAGACTTCAGACTACTGTGATTATGCCCTTAACCCTCCTGAGTATCTAGTGGCTTTACTAATGACATAGAACCTTTACCTGTAACCCTTGTAAACCTGTCTCTCAAGAACAC